GAAAATTAAGGAAACGTCAGCGATTTTTTTTTAGATTTCAGTGGAAGCTTGAGCATCAAGGAAATATCAAAAACATCAGAAAAGTAGAAGGTCTGTGTCTAGGGGCACGAACGGAAGCTTGACGTAGGACCGCTAGCGGACGGAACAAATGTGATGAGCATTAAGTTCTTTTCATTGATCGATCATCTATTATCTTAACTCTTTCCGTTTTTGAATTGTAGGCGTACCAAATTTGTAGTATTTTTTTCAAAGAAAAAGAAAAAATCGATCAAAATCACTTGTGTAGTAGTTAGAGTAAGCGTGGAATTGCAAAAAAAGTAGAATCGAGTGAGCGTGAAGATAGACCGTATGTAAACAGAATCTGATTGGTTCGGGAATTTTGATACAGCTAGAGGTATAAATATGAGATACCTTAGCTCGTTGACGGCTCAAGATCCTTAGGATGCTTTTTTTTCAGTCCCTCGCGAACTAGAAATTCTGAGGTCCACCTTCTGGCTGGAATTCAAACATTAGAAGAACGGAGAGTTTTCATCCTGGAAAGGTTCAGAGACACCTGTCTGAGATCAAGTCACCAGGTCATACGTGATCTAGCACGATAGGTTAAGTTATGCTTGTAGTTAGGTAGGTTATCACTTTTTTTCCAATTCAAACAAAACACACCCCTTAAAAGGGTATGCTGTAAACTAGTTGCAAAACAAACATATTAAATTGGGATAACAAATTAAACAAAGATGATGAGCCGGGTAGGCTTATCAATTAAAATTGTGAAATCAATGTCCAATCATAAACAAACAGAAATAAACATTATTTTAGTAGTAGCTCGTTGACGGCATTCTTATGACAGACTGTGGAGAGAGCGGAAGACTAACAAAGGACCACCAACAGAAGGGATAGCGGTACTAGTGGACCAACAGAGGGAGCAGCAGATTCGTGAAACCGTTACTGAGGCTGGAAATCTTGGTCCAGTCACGACAACTTGCACCCCTGCTTCCAAGTTTGGTTACAAGATTACAACTCTGGAGAGCATTTTGTGTGGTCGTTTGGGATGTGTAGTTCTGAATATAGACAAACAGGCACAGATAAATTCAATTACCACTCTTTCCTGTAATAGGCTTGTGGGCCATTTTGTTGCCAAAGTTGGTAATGTTTTAACCTCCGAAACCGTACAGAGTGCGTCTATGTCGCTTCAAAGCGTAGATGACATTCATGGCCGCTTACGCTTGGCGACAGCATCACGGATCTCATTTTCCAGGAACACCTTCAGCACACCTTGTAGATCAGACCGAAGATACGTTTGACACCGCCCGGGCGAACCATACGACGGATGGCGGTTATCATGAAGAACCTTGCGATGACGCTTAGCGCCTTCTTTACCAAGACCTTTTCCTCCTTTGCCACGACCAGTCACTGCCACCACCTTCCTACTGCTGCTATTGCTGCTTCTGCTGCCTGGTCACCACGCCGTCCGAAGTAGGATTGGGCGATGTTGGATCGATCTGTGGAAGATCGATCTTTTTCATCCCGATTTCCGATTTTTCGAATCGATTCTTTGTTCACGAAAAGATCTAAAAAGTCAACATTAGCATCGCTCCCTACAATGACGTCACTATTTGCGTTTCCTATATTTCTAGATATAGGTGGAATTAGGGCGTTACAGCCTTTGTAAACAATTACTTCTCTTGTTGATTTCTCGGAATTCAAGAAACGCCTACACAAACCAACATATCCATCGGGTAGGAGAAGTCTTCCTCTACTTGATGGTGATATCAATTTGCCAGGGAGAGCCATGACTTACGAGAAATCATCGAGAGAAGTCATTGTTTACAAAAACTGTAACGCCCTCATTCCAGCTATATCTAGATTTACGAATACAGCAACATTTGAAGGTATCTGTTACCTCCCTCCTGTGCTCATTGTTCCTTACCGAATTTCTTGGGGTACCAACGTAAACAAGTGTATAGTTCATTCTATATCCAAGAGTATTGATGGTCCGAAAGTGAGGATAGCAATAACAAACCAACATTTTTGGCTAGAGCAAAAGTGAGGATAGCAAACTAAGCACTTGAAAATACGCAAGTGTGCGAGTCATAACCGTCAGAAAGATCAATTAAAATAAAAACCATAGGATCGATCTCTCAAAGATCGATTATTTGGTACCGATTTAATCAGTGGATCGATTCTAGAGCTAAATATAAGATCGATCCGTCAAGATCGATCTTTCTCTGAAGATTGTCCAATCCTAGTCCGAAGCGAAAATAAGTTGAGGCTAATCAGCAGTGCTCTTTTATATCTTTTCAGAATAAAGCAGAATGATGTGCAACCAAGTGGTACTCGATTTTGACGACTGGGTTTGGGAAGAACGTTTATTTTATGAAAAAAAATGATACAATTTTCACTTTTTATTTGTACATTGGAAAATGCTTGACATTACCACTTTTTTTCAATAGTTTCTTGTTGAAAATCATCATTAGCATTGCTATTGATGCGTAAAAATATTTCTGATCGATTGGTGACAACATTATTGAAATTGGTTCAGGGGCAGCTGAGTTATTAATGTTCAAAATCTTCCATAATTTTGTTACATGTTCCATTTTCGGTATTCACAAAGTGTACCCCCATATAGAAATCACAGGCGTAGTCCTACGTCAAAAAATTGTAGGAGCTCCGGATAGATCTGTAGGGCATTTCGATTATCACCAGGAAAATTGCGTCCGCTTAGAAATTCAGGGGTAGAGCAGTTCCAATTACTTTAGGAAAATTCCGAAAACTTCAGAAAGTCTAGGTTTTCGAGGAAGTTTGATGATGTTTAAGAATAAGTCATTTTCTTTTTACAGTTTTAACATCTACAACGTTTCCAGGGGTCCAGTGGTCCACGGGTCCAAGGGGTCTAGGGGTTAGGGGAACTTCATTAGAGCTAGTATTAATTTAAGATTTTTGAGCTGAACGAAAGACGGCACAACTTTCATATATCCTATAAAGGCGAAGTCAAAAGACGAAATCTTTGGACATAAAATATCCTAGCGTTTTGATCCACCAAACTGAAAAGCCATAATCAGAAAAAAATATGTTTTTTTTAAGTTTTATGGCGACCTGATACCGGGCAAGTTTAACCGTATCCTTGTTTTCACTAGAGAAATGAATTGTGTGTACATTTCGAAATTAAAATAATGGGCGCTCCATAAAGGGGGTGCATATATGAACAATCAGTGGGTAACCAGATCTGACTTTACCATGACAACACTGATTTATATATATTCTTGTCGTAGTTGAAACATGCAGCAATAAAACTTTAATTTTACGTGGTACTTAATAATCAACTTAAGTACTTAATAATAGATGCATTCGCATTGAATTTTACATGCATCTGGGTTTTTACATAGCAGTGAAAAGTTCAACAGAAATTTAATGAATTTTCATCGAAAAATTATATTAATGTACATGAGTGGGTAAATTTCGGCTTTATTTAATTGAATTATTGATTGTTCAATGTATAGTTTTAAATTAAAAAAAAAAAACCTGCTCTAATTTTTAGAGTTTTTTTTATCTGCGTGGTTTGTCCTGTTATTGATTTTAACTTTTCATATGTTATCAAGTTAAAATGAATGTTAATTAACAAAAACCTGCTGAGGATTTATTTTTATTTCAAAAGTTAACTGTTTTAACAATCCAGAGGGCGACAGTCTTCTTCTACTTGCCGAATATTGACTTCTCCTTCTCCTTCTTTTTCTTGTTCTTCTAGGACTTTTCTGCTACTGCAGCGTGCGTTTTGGGGATTCTCAAACTAAGTGTTCTAGATGCACTTCAACTGTTATTTTGGCAACCAATGCATGACTTAATATATTGTGTGGCAAGCACAATTAACTCTACTCAGGGAAGTCGGGAACACTTCCAATCCGAACGAGGTTGTAGACCAGAGCTGGTATATATCACGGCCGTCATGTGACGATGAGAAAACAGGTCTTCTCACTATCACGAGATGGAAATACCTATCATTAGCTTTCTTGTAATTCCTCAATGACCAAGAACTCATGAGACTAATGCTTCTGCGGTTTTGACATCTACATTTCTAACTGATTTAGATGAACTTAGGCAAGCAAAAGTTCGTAATCGGTAGAACGAATATATTTTTAGGATTTGTGCGGTACAAATAACTTTAATAGCATTAAATGAGCCAGTAATTACGATGATCACAACGTTCTGTCATGTCAAAAAATCGATGAGATTTTGAAGAAAATCTCTAGCATCGTTTTCTCATCCAATGATAGTGACAGATCGCGTGAGATCTTTCATTGAAAATGACATTAGCCAGCCCTGTTGTGGTCCAGACCGAGTATTGAACCCGCCGCCGCCAGCTTGCTAATACCGTGCCTTTACTGACTAGGCTATCTGAGACCTCAATATTGCCGAATATTGAACTTACTACATTTATGAAGCAGAAAAGATATAAACCACGCGATTGGCTTTTGCTGGTTTCAAAGAAAAAATAAACGATGATATTAATCAGGAAGCACACAATGTCGTGTTATGCAATCGTCAACCACCATGAAACTCAAACTGAAACGTAATCATGAGGCTGCGCTACTATAAAACTATACATATAATTAGCACAAAACCGTTGATTCATGATAGCTACTTCCTTCAATCAAACATCAAACAAATCAAAACAAAGGATCCTTAATAAGCGTTCCCTCCTGCAACAGCTACAGAGCTTGACATGAAATCCAATCCGTGGAAATATTTCTTCGACGAGCGGATTGTTCAACGTGAACTCATTCCCATCGATAATTACAGATCAATGTACCTAATTTGTTCACGCCTTATTGATCGATACAGAAGCAGCCTCAAAGCGTGCCACAGATCACGTCTACCCGTTACCGGCGACGCTTGTCCACACAAAAAGAACGCCGTTCGATCGTCATGCTGTTAAAGTTCATTTGACAGGTTAAGCGTCAAACACCTGTCTTCGTTAAGAATATGCAATTATTTCGTTCTCTACTCACCCATCACCAGCACGGCGGCTAAATTGATTTGTCTCATCTTGCTTGATCTGATTGCACGATGAAAGGCTGTGTTGTCCAAATCCGACGGTTGGGTGAAAATTTGTGGCGCGGCGTCGACTAGCTGCACTGTATATCGCACTCTCACTTTTTCACCACCGCCCTTGTCGAACCCCAAACACTTAACACCTCACTGGACTCTGACGAGTTTTTGGGCGAGCCACTATATCAAAATAATAATAATGGTTTCGAAATCACCCGATCGCGTCCACCGCTAGCGAAGGACCAGCGTAAACTAATTTTAATCCGTTCCGTACGTGACCAAGAAGCCTTCCTTCCTTCCTTCCTAATGATCATGTAATGACGTATCAAGCCGATAGGTAGCAAGTCAGCCAGTCTGCCAACTTGCTGATGACTAGTCAGACTGAATGATTGAATTGGCTGGCTGACGATGACGATGATGACTTATGCGAAGCGATGCTGAATACTCTGCTGAACTGGTTAATTGGTCGAGCAAGACCTCCCATCAAAGCCCCGGAGCAAAGCGGCTAAGCTCCCCGAGCTCAATACCATTCCATTGGCAACGGTATTGTTCTGATCCACCACCGCACTCGGCGTCGGCTTCTGAATGGCGTGGTTTATGAGCTTTGTCTGACCGGGTGTTGGTGCAGTTTTACAACGCAGCCAATGATAGCCGCACGTGGAGGCTTCTTGAGCAGGAAGTTCTTGAGAGATTTGAATAGCAACTTCAGTATAGGCGATTTACAGAGCAATACGTAACCGATTGACAGGGTTGCCAGTTTTCAATGATTGTAGAATTTTTTTATGCATTCTGTGAAAAGATCCGGGAACATTGAGAACGATTCATTAGGTCGCCCAACGGCATCCAAAACTTAATTAACTGCCATCACTGTGATTGCACGTTTGATGCCATGCAAATTGGCGTGCAATGTTTTTATTCGACGCTGATCCCGCTGTTCGAAACATTGACACTGATTTGGAAGTGCCCCGCTGCTAGCAGTTGGACCACTTTGCTGCCCCTTATGTTGCTCTCTTCATCGAACACAAGAGGCGTTGTTGATGTTAATCGCTTGGAATGATTTCAATTTGCTTCGCCTGGTAACTGACCAACCTCTCTAGGTTGAGTTTATTTTTAGTATAGTCGAATTTCAGTAAAAAGTCGATTGGATTCACCTAGCAATCCCGATGGTGAAAACATATTGTTGTCCATCAGTATTTTCGATATGATTTTTATACTTCTTCCGAAGTGTTCCAGTAAAGTTAAATCAAGCGTCCAGCAAAAGATTCCCCCAAGTCAACTTTGACAATCCGCTAAGGGGGTGCTCATAAACCACGCTGACACTTTATTAGGGGGAGGGGGGTTGGCGATTGTAAATGCAGGGGGACGGGGATCTAAAACTTCAAAAAACGGTCTACGTAGTTTATGGTAAGCCCCTAACGACTGGATTTCGGCGTGCAATCATCATCGATGGCTTATTATGCGACTGGATCGGATATGGTGAGGGGACCTCCCTTAGCTCAGGAAGTATAGGCAAGGATTTTAATCAACGTCATGCTGGAAGTGGTGGGTTCGATTCCCGTTTTGGACCTAGGATTTTTACAACTCTCAATCAACTGCTGCGGAAGTGCTAAAAGCTCATTAACTGGATGTTGAAAGCAGGCGTTAATGCCCAGACGGAATGTAAAGCCTGGAAGAGCAAGAAGCAGATCGGATATCAAATAATGACAGCACGTGGCAACGATTAACGATTGAAAGTTGATCTTTTTGTTATAATAAATTATGGGTGAGCGGAGATGAACATGGGAATGGTCCAAACTGTTTCCATGCCAGCAACCGAATATACACGGCCGTTCAATCTCACTCAGATAAGGAGTAGCTTTTACTCAGATCAAAGATAAATTTCTAAAAACGTACAGTTAGGCAAATCAATTTAAGTATTCTATAAGGCACGACTAATGAACCTGGACAGTTTCAACTTATGGATTTAATAAGCGTTACTTATGCATGATTACTATGCTACATGAGGTGTTGATATACGTGACCGTTAATCACGAACTAAATAATCTCAACGCTCAAGGTTTGAATCCTTAAAAAAAATTTATGTTTCAAAAGCCAACTTATGAATTTCATTGTTTATACTTATGAATTATGTTTCATAGGTCAAACTTATGATGTCCACAATCAATCCATGTGGCGAATAATCATTAGTAGCTCATATGGAATTCTTAAGTTTATTTGCCTCAGTGTAGGTTACTCAGCACTGAGTGACGTACGTTTTTATAAATTTCTCTTTCATCTGAGTAGCAGTTACTCCCTCTCTGAGTGAAATATAACGGCCGTGTAGATTAGTCTGATTTTTTGCCGCTGTCTTCTGCACTGGTTTGTGTTTGGAAATAAGACGAAAAAGTCAACTTTTCGAAAGCATTTTTTGTTTGTTGTTTATGGAGATTTTATCCGCGCAACTGGTTTTCTGGATTAACAATAACTGACCAGGCCAACTCTTTACATTGTTGAGTGCTTGCGGATTGTATTCTTGAGGAACAACAGGTTTAATTTTTTGCCGGTCCGTGGTGAAGGTAGGATGATTTTTCAGCTTTTCTCAAACGTGTTATTTATTTATTTATTTATTTAATTATATACATGACTTTTGATTTTGGAGTTTGCTTCAGTTGCCAAGTTAAATTTGATTATTCTGGAATGCTCAACGATTCAAATGGTAAAAAAATTATCGATCCGGTCGTTTGGATTTCATGCCCTGCTCTTAACCCTACAAAGGAGATTGTCTTTGTTTGTCAGAAATGTGTTCCTTTCAATCTGAGGTTTTACAAGATGCTGACTCAATGGCTCAAGTAAGATTATCTGTTAAACACTAAAGCTTATTCACCATTTCCACATGTCCGAACTACTTTTAGCTGAGTAAAGCTGCTAATTGAGAGCTTTCTTAGGCAGTACTGATCCGAAATGATCGTTAACTGAAAAAAGAACCGAAATATAATTCTTGGAAGGCTGATGAATTGAATATTTAATTCCAAGAAAGTATTGAGTATAACTTAATATTTTCAAATTTATGTATTGTCGTCAATCAGATGTAGACCATTATGTACAATTTACAGTCATATCATAGCATAGCATAGCATAATTCAAGTTGCACACAATCGTAGGTGGTACGAGTTTTAATCTGATGTTAAAAAGAAGGCTCACATTTATCCGTTGCTGCAAGCAAGTGATTAGGGATTAATCAATACCTCTTAGATAAAGGATGTGTCTTCTTCCAAAAGCTCAGATCTGTGCTGGCCATGTCCTTGCAACTGGTGGGCATGGGGAAGGAATTTTAGTCCTACATTTACTTAAAAGAGATGCAGAGAACTCTACGACCTCTCATAAATGTCACGGGTAGGGTGGAATATTGTTAGTAGGTCGGACAAGCCATGGGATACGCCCAGCCGGCGATGCTAGCAGTGAATTATTTTTCTAACACGTAATAATATATACAGCAAAAAATAATTTTGATATCACGTCAAAGTGGATGCACTACAATCATGTCGAAAATATGGTGTAATATTACTTGCTAAAAAGGACAAAATTATCATTAATACAATGCATGAACTGACATTACGCTGCTTTTACTGCATTTGTTTATTTATGTGGTCATAAAAATTACATGAAATTTTCGACATGATTGTAGTGCATCCACTTTGATGTGATATCAAAATTATTTTTTTGCTGTGTAGCTGGTAAATAGGTTCCTCTGCTGATGCTGATCATTTACCTGAACAAGGATAGTATGATATAGTTTATATTCTGCGATGCTCTGCTTTGCTTATTGCACTCTCCTGTTGCCGGCTTACACATGAAAATTAATTTGTTTTAAAACATATACTGCCGGCAACGCAAGTCAGTCCCATCTGCATTTTTATCAATTTTAAGTTAAGGTCGTCATTTAGCTTAACTTCTCATGTATTTGCTATGCTATTCAAAAAAGTAAGTTGGTTCTAGAAAAGTGGAAAACAACACCAAGTCAAACTGTCCCATAGGGGAAAGTAATCGCAAGTCAGTCCCATTAGAAAAAAAAATACGGATTTCACGAAATAATCAAGAGAACAACGTCATAACTTTGTTTTTAGCTTTGTATATTAAGTAATAAGAATGTTCGATAACATTTGATTTAAAAAAGCATTTCAACTGAAAGTTTTCGAAGCGTTTCTATGCATTTACGACTAATTGTCATATATCTGGTTAAGAAGAATGTCAGTCCAGTACGATTTGATGAGTGGTGTAATAACTTTAAGCACGGCAGCTTTTCTGTTTTCAGTTATTCCTTTGAGCGAAGCCTGTCGTTTAAAGGAGTTTTCCAAAAGAAATCCGTCACACTGAATCTGCTTCATTTGCTTTTTCGAAAATAGGGTACATCGATTCATCGGGGCTTCCGTCGACAGCTTTGCTGTAAGAAAGCCTTTCTTGAAAATAGTGTGTTTCAATATACGGTCGAGGTTTGCATTGATTAATTACGTACTGGCTGGTGTTTATGGTCGTGCAGAAAAAGTCTCTGAACTTCATGTTCATTACTTCCACGTTTTCCTTGGCCTTTTCGACCAATGCTGAAAAATCTGGAAATGTTTGAGCTGGTTTGCTATTGCGCATGCTTTTTTCGATGGCAGCATGGACGCTATCATGTATCATGTGTTGGAACATATTCCAATTTTTGTTTTGGGCGCTGCAGTTTCCTCATAGTCGTTGAATCGCTCGATTACTTGATGGAAACAGCTAGTTATATCGGTAGCTTGACGTCCTGTAGTCGACTCATCCCATAGACATGTTATCACAGGAAGAATCTTTACGTATTTTCTCACCGGTGCAAAAGTTCGTAAGCCAACAAACGTTGAGAAAATACAATGCATTTTTATCCATCAAGCCTTGGTAGTTGTATCACCTAGAAAACACCATATACTGTGGTTAATATAGTATACTGAAATGTATAATTTTATTTGTCAATCATATTTTACCCACCTTTTGTAAATCAACAGAAAC